GGCCATCATACTTGTAGTACCAAAAGGAAAGAAAACATGGAAGTACGTATAATGAACATACATTTATATTCATTGTACTTCAGTTGTATCCCTTTCGCTGATTTGTGTATCAACTTTTGGCAACTTATGTAGGAATAGACAAAATAGCTATAATAAAATAATGGTAAACACCCCCTATAGTGCTAACCCCGAGTTCATTTTAGTTCCATTCCCCATGACCACTATATAGACAAGCACCTCGTTAGGACCTAAACGATATGTTTTACTCATCTTAGCAACACTTGGTGTTAGAAAAATGGCGTAACAAATGTCAAAATAAATTTGCATATTTTAACAATAGTTTATAAAACACTTTCCAAAATTTGTAAATTTCACCATATCGCCCTAGGTTACATGTAATTAGATTTGAACAAAGATACCATGCACCTAATACTTGTTGAGTTATCTTTTTCAGACATAAGTATTGCCGAAAGCCGTATGTAAAAAAGAATGTTGTGCAGTACTGTAACACCTAGTTTTTAGATGTTTCTAGTATTTGGATGGTAGGACGAAGATGGTTCGAGTAAAAATATTGGGCTTCAAGGGAACAGAGTTTAGACCATATTGGATGTTGATAATGTTGGATTAAGTGATTAAAGCCCTCAAATTGTGCTTCAAAGAAAAAGGGTCAAATGGGAAAAGTTAGATATCGGGTTTCTTGCATGGATTATGGTTTTATTTTACCACATATTAAGCCAAAGTTAATTAGATAGGGTTATGGGGCTCATCAATACCTTTCTATGCATATAAAGAGCGTCGACAAGGGAGCTGAATGAAAAAGTTATGACTATTTGAAGTTGGAGTGGAATTGGGTGAAAACTCGTAAGTCATGAGGTGACAGGAATGTCGTCATGACGTGAAAGTTGTCACGGGGTAACAGGAATACTGTCACGAAATGAGAGTCATCACGAAGTGACAAACAGGCTGTCACGAAATAGGGTATTTTTCCATTCTCCATCTCATCTAAGGCCTCTTCAGAGAAACCCTAGCCTCCCTTTCACCACTTTGAACCTCCCCTCTCCTCTCTCATCCATTTTTAGATTTCTTGGTGGATTTTGGAAAGAAGCTATTTCAAGATGGAGTTTTGGATCCTTGCATAAGAAGATCTCAGCTTCAAACTATCTTTTGGACCTTAGGTGTGATTCAAGTTTCCACCTTTATGCTTATAAGTTGCTAGATCTATATTCTAAGCTTTTTTTATTTATTAAATGAAGATTATTGTGTTCGATGTGATAAAGTTTGCAACTTTAGCATTCCATCTTGTCACAAGAGTATTTTTGGTCTTTGGATCTGATCTTTTATGATTTTGGACACCATGCTTGAAGTTAAGATCTCATTTGGTCATTTTGACCTAACTTATGTTCAAGACATGCATTAGACATGCATGTATTAAAAAACAATTATTTTTATGGTGATTTGGGATGGAGAAATACTTTTGGAAAGTTTGAGTTCTTGACATGAAGGATTAAGAGCTTAAGGCATTAAGTTGTCCAGAGCATTCCCACGACGTGGCAACGGGCAACTTCGCGAATATTTTGTCTTAACGCTGTCACGACGTGACCAATGGGTGGTTACGACGTGATGATTAACTGATGTTGACTTTGACCGTTGACCTTGACTGTTGACTTTGACCATGATGGACTTTTGGACAATTTAGAGGTTTTAGGGTGTAGATTGAGTGGGTAATTCTGTATTGCTGATTAGGTGTTACGTAGTATCGGTCTACATTGTATGAGAGCGGTTGTGTTTAGCTGCTATATGCGAGGTGAGTCTTCCCATTATACTATAGGACACTAGGTGTCGATTGTGCATGTTTTCTTTGTGACTCTTGCTGATGTGCTTGTATGTTGTATGCATGGATTCGATCTACGCTACTAGAATTTCGGGGTAATAAAGGCACTTGGATATTCTGAGAATTGTGATTTCACTATCAAATCAAAGTATTTAGGTGGTACTCCCTAATCTTTGATTGGATAAGACTTAGAAGAGATTCAGAACAGAGAATGGGACGTATGAATTTCGTTAGTACCAAAAAACTTACCAAAATTAATTAAATACCTCCTTTGGCTAAAAACTGTCAAAACTATCATAAAACAGTTTGGTAACAGTCAAAAACTATCATAAATCGGGGTTTTCAATAAGGATTAATACCAAGCCAAAAAACAGGTCAAATATTCTAAATTTGGATTTCGACCCCAGGCGCTCTGCCCTTGGAACCCGCCAGGGGCTGCCGCCCCTTGGACCCCGCTCCCAGGGGCGTTGCCCCCGGTCCCCCATTTGTTCAGGGGCTTCGTCCCTAAATGACAGTCTACTTCTAATCTTGAATAAACTTAAACAAGTGTGCACTCCGCACCTTCCTTACTTGTTTAATATTCATCAAGATTGATTTTGGTTAACAAGTCAACCCATTACACTTAAATACAATTAGTGAAACAAATCACCAACATAGGCTCGGAGTCATTACGGATTCGGGGTTGACACGGACACGATTGAGCTGATTTGGGATTGGAGTTAATACGAACTTGGGGTTGATATGAACACAATGTTGTTATGGACCCGATACAACTACGTGTTGTTACATATATGTTGTATATGGTATTTTAGGGAACTCACTAAGCTTCGTGTTTACATTTGTGGATTAAATATCCTGCATGTTCTTATCGGATTGCGAAGACGAGACTGCACACATGCATCGACTGTTTTATGATTCGAGATTCTGCATTGTCTTCTTATAACTCAGATTTTGATTTGTGGTTTATGAACAAGTGGTTTGACTTGAATATAACATTAATAAAAATAGGTGTTTATTCTATTTAAAAAATGAAAAATTAATCGTGGTTTTTAGGATGTTACAAGTATTGTAAGACTATACATATGGAGAGAAAGTAGCTAATTAGTGACTTTTGGCAGGAAAATTCTAGGAACAAACATGTCGGTTGGTTTTCACGTAAAAAATGGCAAATAGATATATCAATTATATATTATGCAAGTTTCTACTTCGCACCTTCCAAACTTACAATTTAACATAAAATGAGCTAAAATTGTCCCGAGTTAATCCTAAGAACGCTAATGGCCTGATGGCACTAAAATCAATAATGAGCTTGTTCGTAAAATATAGCTGGAAGTTTTAACTTTTATTTGTATAAGAGTGTTCAACACAAGTAACTAGAAGCTTTTGAAATATGTAAACTTACATAAAATGGCATATGGATATAAAGTAAAATTAGCATATAATCATAATAAATTAATTTTTCTAAACTATAATTATCAAAGGTTAAAAATCATCCAAATTTTAAAAAACTAGCTTATAGACTACTTTTTGACATACCAAATATGACAAATTGAAAAGCTCGAAGAATAAGCTAGTCGTGGCTTGCCAAACAACTTTTTAAAGAGTTGCTTATAATCTACTTTTTAGCATACTAAACATGACAACTTAAAAAAACTCGAAAAATAAGCTAGCTGTGGCGCGCTAAAAACAGCCAAAGTAGCTTTTTAAAAAGCTAGCTCTTAAGCTACTTTTTGGTTTGCTAAGGTTGTGTTTGTCGTACCACGACTAGCAGATAAGCTAACTTCTCTTTTGAGTTTTTATAATTCTCGTGTTTGGCAAGCCAAAAAATAGTTGATAAGGTAGCGTTTTAAAAATCTACTTAGGTTATGTTTGTCGTGTCACAGCTAGACAGCTAGCTTATTATTCGAGTTTTTTTAAGTTGTCATGTTTAACAACCCAAAAAGTAGTTTAAAAGCTATCTTTTTAAGAAGCTATTTGGACCAGCGTTTTAGGATTTTTTTAATTTTTTCCCAAATATACACTTAATAAATTATAAACATAATAGTTTTCTAAATGATATTTTATGTCATTTTATATCTTTCAGCTAGCTTATAATCTAGTTTTTACAAAAAATCAGTTTTTATCAGCTAGCATATAAGTTTGCAGCTAGCTTTTCAATTAACAGTTAGATTTTCAGCTAGCATGCCAAACATAG